GCACTCTTTGCATACAAAGTAGCACTTGATGTTGCGCTCACGCAAGAGGATCTAGAACCCACGTCAATAACACAGTGTACACATCGAACAGATTGGCTAAAATGGAAAGAAGCCATAAACGTGGAGTTAAAGAGTCTCAAACTCAGAAACGTGTTCGGTCCGATCATCCGGACCCCATTACACATCAAGCCAGTGGGCCACAAATGGGTCTTTGTGCGCAAAAGGAACGAACTCGGTGAAGTCGTTCGATACAAAGCACGGCTTGTAGCACAAGGATTCTCACAGAGACCCGGAATCGATTATGAGGAGACTTATTCTCCAGTGGTGGATGCAACAACATTCCGATTCCTCATAAGTCTGGCCATAAGAGAAAATCTTGATCTGCGGTTAATGGATGTTGTAACCGCATATCTCTATGGGCCCCTGGACAATAAAATATATATGAGACTCCCAGATGGCATTGAACTAAAAGACAAAAATGCATCTCGAGATCAATACTGCATCAGGCTGAACAAATCCTTGTATGGACTGAAACAAAGTGGGCGTATGTGGTACAACCGCCTCAGCGATTACCTCATCAAAGAAGGCTACAAAAATGACTCCATCAGTCCATGCATCTTCATCAAGAAGTACTCAAACGAAGGATTTGTAATCATAGCAGTATACGTGGATGATCTAAACATCCTCGGAACATCTGGTGAGATCTCCCAAACAGTCGACTGCTTAAAAGCAGAATTCGAAATGAAAGACCTAGGCAAAACAAAGTACTGTTTGGGATTACAACTTGAGTACATCAAAGGAGGAATCCTTGTGCATCAATCGGCTTATATCGAAAAGGTACTCAAGCGATTTAATATGGACCAAGCTCACCCATTGACCAGCCCAATGGTAGTTAGAAGCTTAAGTGATGACCCTCTTGGTCCCAAAAAGGATGATGAAGAAATCCTTGGTCCTGAAAAGCCATACCTCAGTGCTGTAGGAGCGTTAATGTACCTGGCTAGTCATACTAGACCAGACATATGTTTCGCCGTGAACCTCCTCGCTCGATATAGTTCATCCCCAACTCAGAGGCACTGGAACGGTATAAAACATCTCCTAAGATACCTTCGAGGTACTCAAGACTTAGGACTCTTCTATACTAACCAAAATAAAGATGGGTTAGTCGGCTTCGCCGATGCAGGATATCTATCAGATCCGCACACTGCCAAGTCTCAAACTGGCTACGTTTTTACGCATGGAGGAACAGCCATCTCTTGGAGATCAATGAAGCAGACACTCACTGCCACTTCATCAAACCATGCTGAAATCCTAGCCATTCATGAGGCTAGTAGGGAATGCGTCTGGCTGCGCTCCATGACTCAGCACATCCGCAGAGATTGTGGTATGGACGAAGACACACAGCCCACGGTGATGTATGAAGACAACGCGGCATGCATAGCTCAGCTCAAGGAAGGATATATCAAAGGAGATCGGACGAAGCACATTCTACCGAAGTTCTTCTCAACCTCAGACTGGCAGAAGGACGGCACTCTCAGCGTTCAGCAGGTCCGATCCAGTGAGAATTCAGCTGACCTCTTCACCAAATCATTGCCTACTTCAACACACCGGAAGCTCGTCAAACAGATAGGAATGTATAGACTTAGAGATCTGCAGTGATGCTACAATCAGGGGAAGTAATGCGTGTTGTACTCTTTTTCCTTCACCATGGTTTTGTCCCACTGGGTTTTTCCTGGTAAGGTTTTAATGAGGCAACATTCCCCAGCGCATTATCGAGATCCCGATTGAGTAGCTGGCCCGGTTCACTCGTCCAAGGGGGAGTGTTATAACACATATCATATATGGACTCTTATACCGGCCCATTAGGCCCATCAGGGCATTGTACTTAACCTAGATTCCCTATGTACTCTATATATACATTCCAGTGATTAATAAAGTTTCTAAGTTTTCACAACAACATTTTCTTTTTGGTTCAATTTTTAAATTTAAATTGATTTATTTTAAATTAAATTATGATGCATAAGCGAAATTTAGGTAACATTGTTTTAAATAATGACACGTAAGCAAAATGCTTTAAAATTCGATGTGAACATGACACGTTAGCAAATCATTACACAAATAACTATATAGATATGTTTTAGATTTCTTATAACACTAGCCAGCGAGATACTTTGAAAAATTAAAACAGAGAGAATAAATATTTAACAATTTGTCGACTTTATTAATTCTCTTCGGCGATCCTAAAATAAGGCTTTTACAGTAAAGAAGCAAATCGATTTTATTAATTATCTTCGGCGATCCTAAAATAAGGCTTTTACAATAAAGAAGCCTTATTGTAGAAACAATGAAACTTGAGTTTTGAATAATGAAACTTGAGTTTTGAAGCCTTAACGTTATTCCTAAAATGAAACTTGAGTTTTGAAGCCTTAACGTTATTCCTAAAATAAGACTTTATTAATTAACTTGATTTCACTGTAGAAACAATGAAACTTGATTTTACGAACAGAAATAACGTTCCAATACAGAAATAATAAAAATGAGAAAATATAACAAAAGGTGGAAAAAACACAAACGCATGTAAGAGTTTAGAACTTTGGGTCCAAACCGCATGTTACTGGTTTGAAGTTTGTTAAGTCTCCCTCTCTCTCTCTATCTTCTTCTCTATCGATACATCTTTTGTGATATCCGTTTGAAATATCAATTTTGGCTTTATGACTCGCCCGAAAATTCAGGGAGAATGACATCAAACCACACTCGCTTTGGTGACTCATTCTGCGTTCTGAGCGGGGACCGAGAGTTTATGTTTTACTCTTTGATAACTATTAGCCTTTACTATTTTATAAATTCTAAATATCATTTATTACATTTGAAACCTAAGATTAAAATTAACAAATTTTCAAAACTAATAATAGAATGTTATAGATAAATTTTCCTAAATATATAATTTCTAGGTTTATATTTTCGATAAGAGAATAAGAGCCACACTCAGTTTAAGATGACATTTATTTTTTTATATTTACCAAATAGGCCATATCTTTGGTATTTACCAAAATGGACCTATATAATTATTTACCATTATCTCATATCTTTAAGTTTTTTTCCAAATGGACCAGATTTTTAAGTATTTACCGAACTACATCATATTCTTTAAGTTTTTATCAAACTACCCTATATCTTTAAATGTTTACCGAAATGGCACATATCTTTAGTATTTACCAAACTGTCCCATATCTTTAAATATTTACTGAAATTGCTTATATCTTTAAGTATTTACCGAAATGGCTCATATTTCTGTATTTACAAAAATACCCCAAAAATCATTAAATATTTACCGAGATATCCCTTAACTTTATGTATTACCAAAATGGCATGTATCTTTCTGTAATTAATGAACTACCCCATATCTTTTTGTATTTAACAAATTACCACATATCTTTTTATATTTACCGAGATACCCCATATCTTTAAATATTTGTCGAATTTCCCTATATCTTAAAGTATTTACCCAAATACCCAAGATCTTTAAGTATTTACCAAACTGCCCAATATTTATTGATATATACTGAACTATCCCCAATATGTCACATATTTATATGTAAATTAATCAAATTACTAGACGACACCCATATCTTCAACTATTTACCGAATTTACCTATATCTTCATGTATTTACCAAATGCTCTAACTCTTTAAATATTTTCCAAAATACTCTTGATCTTTCAGTATTTATTAAAAAGTATTCCCATGTGCTTGTTTTGGCCTCTAAAAATTGTTCTTCTTTGAGTTCTTAGATACAAATTCAATGAGAATTAAGATATTATCAATTACACTATTATGGTGGCTGTCAAGTGATCAATTGCTTTTTCCGTGTATTTTTATATCGTTCCGTTTTATAAGAAAGACTCATTCCTTTCTTTGTAGAATAAGGTCAGTTGCGAATCTTCAGTGACTAATCTAACTTTGGTTTTCTTATCTGAAAAAGCCGAATCAAAAATTGGTTAAGAATATTCGATGAAACCAATCATAAATGCACGTGACCTTTAATATTCTTACATTCTTTTTTTAAATAGTTGGACTTAGGATTTAATGATAAAATTATATACCAACAGATGTCATATTTTTTGCGGGTAAACAACTGAATTAAACTACTCATGATATTGGAAACCAACTATATATTCTATTATCCATTCGAATAATCCGAATATACAAAATCGTTAATTATATGTTTAAGATACCCACCTATAATGGATGTGCAGGGTGTAGGTGTAAAGTGAAAGAGTATAAGATGGGATATAAATGAATAGTACGTAACATCTATTGCCACTACCACTAACCTATTGCCCTTTCATGGCCCAACGTTCATAATCAGTAAGCCAACTGTCAATTATCTACTGCATGCAAGCTAAGAGTGTCCAAAAGGAGTTTTACGCTATAGGACAAAACATTTCTTAAATTATATTATTTCTCTTGTCTCTTTGAGTTTTGGATTCGATCTTATGTTTGGACTTAAAACGACAAAAATAAAATAATTTTGTTTGTTCTCATACAAAATGTCAAAAATGCTCACATCATTTTAAACTCTAATGATATATTGGATTAGTCTTCTAAAGGGGGAATAGCAAACAAACGAAAGAATGATATCACTATAAACAAACTTTAGACAAAATTAAACGCTTTTGAATATCATGAAAATATATTTCCTTTACCGGTTTTGTATTGCTGATATGTGTCTATGTGATGTTTTTGAATTAGATGCTGATTAAAATCCAAGGTCTTCTTCTCTATTTATATTTCTTATTTTTGAAAAAAAAAATCAAGAAATATGGTGATATCTAATATTATTTTTCTTTTCCAAACCATACCCTTATAACTACTACCATGGCTGCTTCAAGAGAGTATATATTCCTCTACTTCAAGAGTATATCGTCCTCTTAAAGACCTTGAAGCCTGGAGAGAAAGAAATCAAATAACAAAATTAGTGTTTTCGGGACGGAACAAAAGATAATGGATTTCTCGGATTTTGAATGCAGCGATGCGGGAGAATCAGGTTGGACAATGTACCTAGACCATTCTTCTTCTGTTTCATTGCATCATTTTGATGATCACAATAGAGAAACAAAACGAGAACATGATGAAGATTCCTCAATGGTGTCGGATGCATCTTCCGGGCCTCCCTATTACTGTGAAGAGGCTGTCCCTGAAGATTTCCTCCAACAAAACACACAATATTGGTGCAAGAGCAAAATCAAGAACAAGACCAAGAAGAAAGTTCACGAAGAACAAGAATATATCGAACGATTCAATTCTTGCCTTGATGACACAGCTAGTTCATTGGTAATGTTTTAATGAACTTGTCATGTCAATATTCTTCGATCATGTCAATATTCTTCGAATCTTTTCTTAATTCTTAAGCCACGTTCGGTTTTTGTTGTATGTTAATATTATTAATATACATATTTCTTATCAACTATTTATCAACTCCGATTATATCATTTTAATCTCAAATTTTGTAAATATATAATAAATTAGCCGGTTGGAGAAGAATTATCAGCACATAAGGAACATCGAGATGAATATCAACGGTTAGATGATTTCTCACAAACCTACTCCACTCGAAGAATAATCAAGGTTTCCACTTTCTTTTTTGCTTCATGATCACAAATTAATCATATATTTTAACGACCATACTTTTGTTTTTTTACCAATTTGGCGCTAAATTAAAGTTTCTGTTTCTGCTGCAGGGAAAATATAACTCGGGTTTCCTACAACAAGCTTTCCCGATTGAGAAATTAGCGTTGAAACATCAAGGTTATGATATGTCCATTTTTTTATTTTGCAATGTTCATTATCAATAGAATCATGATAACTAATGACATAAAGAAAAAGTGAAAACACACAATGCATAAAAATCGCATACATTGGTCAATTTACTTAATTCTCGTAAAGATATATGTATGTATATGTGTATTATGTACATACAGTGTATATATTTTTTTTGTAAGGATAAACATCCTTTGGAAAGCTTTATTCTAAATTTAAACCTCTTCATTATATAACGATATTCACATTCATATAAAACAAACTGTTTACACAATTTAATTATGATGTATCATGCATGTATAAATATAAATGTATGCCTGTAAAAGTGAGTTTTTTTGCCAATAATTTAAAAGGGAGTTCTTAGCTTGACAATATATTTTGTATTCAATTCGCAGGTGGCAGTAAGCAGAGAAAGAAAAGAGGATAAAAAATGATATACGAATATTTATTATTTTCTTTTATCTATCGAACAGAAGGAACACCCTTCTCTTCCTTTAGTGTGTTAGCTATTGTACATTGTCTTTAAGAAAACCATGTAGGTTTTTCTTTCCTTTTTTTCCTTTTTTTCCTTTTTGCTTGATATTGTATACTATGTGGTTTTTCTTTTTTCTTTTCTTGATATTGCATACTATCGAGTTATATAATGTTTCCATAACAAATAGACAAATGTATTAATGTTTGGGGACCAAAAATCGACGAATGCAACAATTTTTGTAAGATCTGTTTTTTCGGAGGCCATAAAGCATCACTGAAAAATTGACAGCAAAAAAAAGTCTAAGAAGAGTGAATTTGGCTTATTTTATAGCAAGCGATATATAATTTTGCATGGCATCTAACAAACTTGTAATACTACTAATGGTTATGTTAATAATTTCGCCATGTAAATCCTGTGTTAGAGATAGAGATTGCCATTGCTGGTTTGTTGCATGTAATTACTAGCTTCGAATTAGTAAACTCCTAAAAAAATTTGAGTCTTGACGTCAGATGAATATTGATGACTGTATACATAAAGGATAAATATAGTTAATCACAGAAGAAGCAGAAGTACATTGATTGAACATGTAAACATATTGCTACCATTTCTACTTATTTACTATTTTAAGTTTCGTACTCCCATTTCTTGTACATTCTTACACAGCTGGTCATGGGCCCTTGTACACCTTTCTATGTATTGGTGGTCGAATTTATTTATTTTTATAGTATGCTATTATTATATCTATTGAATAATTATTCTTAAACCGCATAACTCTGAAAAAATTATCCATATTATATACTATATGATATTAGGTGATGATATATGTATATATATTATATTATATTATATTGTTTCTTTAGATGGTGAAAGATGGAGAGAGAAGGAGTTAGAGAAGAGAAACGAAGATTGTTCTTATATTTCACTTATGTCTTAGGTAAAAATTTATAGCACCAAAATTACCGATTTACTCAAGTCGGCGAAAGAAACTTCAAATATAAGTAAATATTAAACTATTAAAATAGATAATTATTATCTTTTCTACATTTCTTTTTATTATCTATTATTAATTTTTTTTGAAAAGATTGATATAATCTTTTCTTTATAAACTTCTTTTTCGAATTGATGAATCTTTTCTTTGGATAGATGATTCTTGACTTTTATGTCATTGTAATACTTTCTTTCAGTATTTTAGATATCTTTTGTGTATTCTTTGATGTTTTACTGAAAAACTTGTCATGGAAAAATCTAGTGAGACAAAAATCATGACAAGAAAAAAAATACATATACATGCTTCATAATACTTCTTCTGGAAGTAGTCCTTTTTAGATATTTATCTTTTTGTGTCTTCTTTTCTGCTTCGTTAAAAACTTTGTTATAGAAAAACCTCATAAGAAAAAATCATAGCAAGAGAAAAAAAATGCAGCCACGCATATCATCACATTTTTCCCTTGGAAACATCATCTTCAGGAAATGCATTACAATCTTTTGGGGAATTTTTATAAGTAGAGTTTTAGTGAACAAACTCATATGATTTATCAGGTCATTGGACTTCTGATCCATAGTTCGAGTTGGTCATGCTCTCTTATTTCAAATTTTTCTTTTAACCCTTGTAACTTGACCAAATAAATTTTCAGATGCTTCAGGCATCCTTCTGAAATTTTTATCAATACATTACTGAATGTGATTACATCCATGACCGGAGAACATCATTTTCCGGTATTTGAGAAAAACTTTATGCCACAAACTGGGCTTTATATCTTATGACTTTATTTTTCTTATTGTTTTCGAACAAAGACCCATTTGGTCTTGAAGGACATTATATCTTCAGGTGTAATTAATGATTCTAAGTCCTACGACATTTTTTTTATTGATTCTTTTGAATTCTTTCATTTTATTCTCTAATTTTATTTCTCTTCAGAAGAATTTTAGAATCCATCAGCCTCCCCCTTTTTAACTGAACCTCAGGTTCATTTACTCTGCTCCAATGAATTTTTGTTCTTCAAAAACATTAATTTTTGTGGAGCATTTCCAAGTTTTATGAACTTCAAGTTCAAAATATTTTGTAGGGAGAATTAAATAGCACTTTCTTTAGAAATGCATTAAATCTAAATTTTTCTATATGTTAGATCCTGCTGGGATATTTTGAGATGAAATGTCTAATTGGAATACCTGCAAAGCAAACTGAACATAATTTTCCTTCTAAATGGCATCATATCTTATGACTAAATCAAAGATTGCTTTCTTTGATCCATCTATTGGTTAACCTTAACTAAAATTATTAAACCCTTTGTAATGAATATATATATATATACACATCCAATAGAGTTCCCGAGAACATAATTCTGATATCATTAATCCTTCAGGGATTTAATCTTTCATAGATTTTGTGGCATCTATAAAAATGCAATTTAAGTCACTCATATACTGCCAGGCTTAATATTATCCTTAATGTTTAGACTGCTAGTCCAAAAATTTCTCATTTTTCATATGAGCTTAACATAAACTTGATTGTCTTTTCACTCTTTGGCCAATATTTCACTTTCTACACTCATCCACAGAGGTAGATTTATGATCCTCATTCATATCCACATCTTATTTATTGTCGACAATTATTTTTTCTTTGATTCCATCTTTTCACGTAATGATATGGTTAATCATAGATCTTTTTATCATTATCAATGATATCATTCAGGTACCTGATTTTATTATTAATCATATTAACGGGTCTTTTCAGGAGATTCATCCTTTTTTCAACATATATTTGCTCCTTTTCTTTTGAGGATTTTATTATTTGAAACCAAAGTAGTCTATCACGTTTCTACGTGTCATAGACTCTTTATTGATAAATCGTCCTTCAGAGACATACTCTTGGAGCATTTTGAGCTACAATTGATATTTTCTTTCATTGTATGTTTGACATTTACATATCAACTATGTTTTGAACTTCAGGTTCAAAATCATTTATACCAGGATCCATAATGATAATTCATTTCATGAAATCTCAATCATTAGCTCTTCCATACAAAAACATGGAGAAATTTCACCATTGTTGATCTTGCAATCTTCTGGATCGCTTTATAAATTATCTATAAAACCAATTTTAAGTGTGAACATAATCTTCAGGATGTTCCAATACTTTGTTTTATGATTCTTTAATTCTCCCCCTCGAGATGATTATACTTCAAGTTCATCCATCTCGAAATGAATCAAACTTTAGAACCAAAACATATCCAAATAACCCATTTGGGTCATGAATTATGCATCAAATCCTTTAGTGAACTCTTAAAACCCATGTGTTGATGGCTTTTCTTGTCCAATCATCTTGAACTATATTTTACTTACTTGGGTATAATTTGAGACTGCTTAAAAAAATCCAACCATCATATCTAATTATCGTTCAACCAAAAAGGGTGATTTATCTCTTATGATGGTCCTTTTTTATTTTCAACAAAACATGCTATGTGTGAAAAAGTTCGGGTTTTCCCACATAAATTTTTAATACCATTATTACACTGAGATGGCTTAAACATGTTATATTATATATTAATAAACTTCAGGTTCATTATCTTAAAAATATTTACCATCTTTATGCATGTCTCCATCATATATTTTTCTAGAATGTTTCGCTCTGCTGGAGCGTTTTATTCTTTTAGAACATCTAGGTTTTTGTAGAACATCTAACTCTTAGTGTCTACTTATCGGAAGCATTTTGCTCTTTTGGAGCTTTCCACTATCTTTAAAATTTTTCTTCAAGAGTGTTTAGTTCTTTAAAAACTTCTATTTTTTCATGAGTTTTTAGCTTTTCTGGAACTTCTAACTCTGCCAGAACTTTGAACTTTTGTAGTTTCTAGCTTTTCTGGAGTTTTTATCTCTTCAAAAGATTTCAATTCTTCTGAAGTTTTTAGTTTACCGGAGCTTCTAACTCTTTCGGAAGTTCTAAATTTTTTAAGATATGTTTCAATGTCTTTTCAGTATTAAATCGGATCGAGAAATCATCGTACTGATAACGTATTATATATTATATGATATTATGTGAGAATATATATGTTTAAATGTATATATATTATATATGTATATTATATTATATTATTTTTTTGGATTTGGATGATGAAAGATAGAGAGAGACGAGGGATTTAGAGAAGAGAGAGGAAGATTGTTCTTATATTTCACTTATACCTTAGGTACATATTTATAGCACCAAAGTTACCAATTGACTCAAGTCTTTAAAAGAAACTTCAAATAAAAGTAAATATTAAACTATTAAAATAGATAATTATTATCTTTTCTAACAATCCATGTATTTTGTTGGACTGGAATTAATATAGGTTTTTGACAAAAAACAAATTTTCTCCAAACGAAACTCAAGAGACTAACACTTGGTTAATATGATTTCCCTTGAGTTGAATTTTCATTCTTCATATCTCTTACTTAGTATTTAAATTATATTAAGTGCATTTAGAGGAATAACCATAGTTTTAGATTTTATATTTTTAAGTATAACAATGTACGAAAGATTATAAAATCCTTTAAAAGATGTATTAAAATTTTCTAGAAGACTATAAGATTATTTAACCATAATTTTAGGTCTTTGTACCTTAGACGTATCAAAACTGTTGAAATCGTGTGTCGAACTCACTATTGTACATTATTTTATACTTTTCTGTGTATATAGTTTTTTTTTTTGGTCGAAAAACTACGTCATTCCAGTTATTGTCAATGTCCACCCACCAAATAATATTTTGTTGGATGCGTATATTGTATATATATACGTAAAACACTGATACACTTACACTGACACACATGACACATGCACGCATGTACGTGTATGCATGTGAGACTATACATGTATTTATGTATATGTTTGCAGATGAATGAATTTATAAAATCGTAATAATGAAAATGGACCAAATGGTCCCTTAGGAAGTGAAATATCATGTTCACATGGCAAATTGGTTAGTGGCTAGTGGCCCTTTTGCCAGTCTATCGTCCGTAATATGCGTTTGTAGGTACACCCCATCGCTTCTGTCATTTTA